CATGTGCGTCATTCTTCTACAATGAGCGTGTCAGTTCTTCTAGTTCATCCCAATCCTCCCCAGTGAAGAGATTTCCACCAACAGAAGCAGCATCAACGGCTCCCTTGTCCTGTGCCTCTCCTTCTTTATCCTCTGCTAAGTCACCTCTTTCCCCATTTTCTGCCCCACCTCTGGGAGCTTCACTTAATCTGTTTCATCCCATTCTAAAGGATATATATGCCGAATCTTTCGAGACTGGCTGCCGTCATACCTGTCTCACCTACTTCTCTTGGGATGTACACGCTTAAATCCACGTCACTTACCTTCACAGAATCATCAGCCTCATCACCCCTGTTCCCTGGGTGTGACGGATTAGCTCCGGCTGCTTCTTCATCCTCTTCCTCATCAACCAGCTCAGGATGAAATTCAAACCCCTCACGACGACTTATCACCAGGTCTCTCCCTGCTTGGAAACCTTCTTTTCTTCTTTGCATAGCTTGCTCGTGTATCCATCTTTTCTTGTCTTTTCCTTTTTTTCCATGCAAGAAAAGATTCTCGAGTGATGTGGGTAGCATTTGGACCGAGGGCTGAGGGCTTTCAATGAGCTCTTCTGATGAAATCTCATCATCTTCTTCTTTACTGAGTGCATGGCGATAACTATCACGCCCTCCAGGGCATACCCCAAACCAGCCGTACTCGTTCTCAGTCGCTTCAAGGAAATGCTCTCCCACACAACTTGAGGTTTTGTTTTTTTCTTCTCCGCCTCACCGTGCATCTTGTTCACTACTTCTCCCAGTTTTTCCTCGTCCCAATCATCCACGGTATCTTGCCTCGAGTTCTTCATCTCGGGTGTCAATGTAAACACTCACGCCGTTCACATTTTCTCCCCAGGCGCGAGTCACGAGAGAGCTTCCATTTCTCTCCTTCAGTGCACTGTCCTCGCTTGAAGAATGCACACCCCCCAGATCTGGGGTCCACGCCTTGACTTAGTTTTTGAGCAGCAATGGTGGGTTTGAATAGTTCATGCACAGTAGCTCCTGCAATTCTTCCTTCTCGCCATCTTTCTTCCGTTTCTTTTCGGCTTCACCTGGTGCTCCCTGGCGTGGATTCTGTTGACCAGATTCAACTTGACGAGCAGCAGTCTTGATAACTTCTGTTGTTTTGCTCCTTTCGTATTCTTTAGACCCTGAATTTGGTCTTCAATGATTTTCCACTGCTGCTGCTGCTGTGGCTGCGGCTGCTTTTTGTTGCCCCCGGCCTGAGCCTGTTTCATGGGGGGCCTGGCACCAACCAGACTTCAGCACAGCTGGACACGGTCAGGGACCCTGGCCCCACAGGGCAGGAGGAGTCTCTACTCTGTTTATAGTGACTTTGGATGAACAGGAGTCCCTAATTTTAATAAGGTCCCATTTCGGGGTCTTTTCCTTTATGACTTGGGCCTTTTGTGTCCTGTTTAAGAAATCTTGACCCGCCGAAGATAATGAAGACATTCAATAAGTTTGGTTTGCCTGTCACATTTGGAAGGACAACCCACAGGGAATAGATTTTTGTGTATGCTGTGAGAGAGAGTTGACCATTATTATTACAGCTGTGGATATGAACTTCACCCTGGCCCATTTCCTGAAAGGACCATTACTTCCTTACTGCAGTGAACTGTCTCCATTGCAAATTAGGTAACAGATGGGTGTGAGGTGAGTTCTGAACCCTGTCCAGTCCCATGGGTCTAGTCGTCCAATCGTTCCTTCTTGATTTTATTCTCTATGGGTCTTGTGGGCCTGGTTTGGGGAGCTTCCCTCTGGTGGCATAGCAGGTTATGAATGGGCTGCTAATTACAAGGTCAGCAGTTTGAACCTCCCAGCCACAGTGGGAGGAAGATACAGTTTTCTATTTCTGTAAGGATTTATAGTCTTGAAAACCTACAGGAAATTCTACCCTGTCCTAGAGGGTCACTAAGAGAATAGCTCAATGGCAGTGAATTTTCCTCTCAGTTGCTGCGGGTGGACAGGGACTACCTCAGCCTGTCCCAAACAGCACTCAGAAGCAGCTTCTCCCCTTTCAGACTCAAACCAGGATTAGATATTCCCACAGCTGTTCTTTCCAGGATCGGCTCCAGCAGCCCCTCCCGCCAGGTTCCTGGGGCTCCAGCTCTTGTGTAACTGTCTGAGCCCTGCCTGCAAGCCACTCTAGGGTAGACTCACTTTTGTTTGGGAGGATGGCCTTTGGAGACCTCTCCTTCCATCGTGTGGCCAGTAAAGCCCCAAGGACTCTGTTTCTGGGATCTAGGGGCTGTGGGAAGTATCAATGTTTGTCTATCATATTTGCAGAAATTAAAATGTTTCTTAACTCCCAGTGTTGCTGAGTGCACTTGTGTCCTGGAACTGCTGTGACAAAGCACCAATAATTGGATGACTTGCAACAAGAGAAAGATCGTCTCTCATCTTTCTGGAGGCCTGCGTCTGAAATGAACATGACATGTGGGCAGGGCCTTTCTCCCTTCCGAGGTTCTAGGGGAGGATTCTGCCTTGCCTCCCCCTCCTTTCTGGCGGCCCAGACCTTCCTTGGCTTGTCATTGCTTCACTCCGTTCTGTGCCTCCATTCTCACACAGCCTTCTCTTCTGTGTGTGTCAAATATACCACGACCTTGCTTTCACAAGAATATGAATTGTTGCCTTCCTGGCCCCCTGGGGCAATCCAAGATGATCTCCTACCTCAAGAGCCTTGTGTTCACCACATCTGCAGACTCTTTTTCCAAATAGGATTCTACCCCCAGGTCCCGGGTTAGGGTATGGAATACTTTTTAGTCTGCCATGCTATCCATGACAGGGAGGGTGCGAGGACGGGCTTCTGTTCATCAGTAGCATACATGTGCATCGGGGCAGCCTCTTGGGAGGCCAACTGGACACTAGCAATACAATTTTTGGACAGTTCGCCATAATGTTTCCCCTCTCAGAAGACACCACACAGACCCGCACAAAGACTGGCCAGCTCTCCTGTGGCTTGTTAAAGCACCGTTTTTTTGAACAAGTATCTATAAAGGAAAGCTTTGTTGCTGGAGCAGACCCCCATCACTGGCCCCTTTCCCACATGAAGGTTGAGCCCCCGTCTCTCCTCCCAGACATGGTGGAGATGATGCTGATGCAGAACGCCCAGATGCACCAGATCATCATGCAGAACATGATGCTCAAAGCCCTGCCACCGATGGTACCCACTGCTCCAGGGCCACGCGCCACTGCCCTGCACCCCGCCTCCCAGGTAAGCTAGCAAGGGCAAAGTGGGCAGTGGGGGCCACTCAATCCACATGAGCCCACCTACAGTGGCTCTCCTGCTTGGAATATCTGCAGCTGTGGGCCTCTAGGAAGTCCACTTCTGGCTTACAGCCTGAGTCAGGAGCACGGAATCCCATCCTAGAGGAGAGATGGGTGCCGGGCGTGGGTCCAAAGGCTCTGCTTGGAGCTGGGGTCCCGAGCCCTGGTTGGAGGTTGGCCCTCCTTGCCCCTCTTTAGTCTGAGTCAGGAATCTGGGGGACCAGAGAGGGGGTATCCTTGTTTGAACCTCACCCTCCCTCATATGGGCCACGTATTCAAATTGTGCTAGGACCCACAGTGGGCTCACCCTGCCCTCCTGCGAGCAGAGAAGCAGAGGCTGGCCTCAGTGCACCACCACCACCACTACGCGCCCCCAGCCCCGCTGCAGCCAGTCTCCACACCCGGGGCCCCGGTGGCCTACCCCATGTGGCCCTCCATGGTCTCAGCCACAGTGCTCCCACAGGCCACTGGCTTCCAACCCACAGTGCGCCACATGGCTGGCCCTGCTGCCGCCGCCGCTCTTAATGTGTAAGTCTTGGTTGGGTCGGGTGGGGACTAACTTGCAGCCAGGTGTGGGGGGTGGGGGTGGGGGGTAGGAGGGTGAAGTCATCCTAGCCATGGGAGAGCCCTTCTTAGCCCAGGGTGTCCCTCTCAGTGACCCCTGCATTGGGGTAGACAGGTCCTTCCCCTTCTCTCCGCACCAGAGCTCTCCTCACACACTCACCCCTTTCCTCTAGGGCTGCGACTGATGGCGCCCTCACCGTGCAGGCCCCAGGGCTGTGAGGCCTGCCTGCTGCAGATTTGTTTTGCAGAGGAGCGTCTGCCTATGTCTCCCGCCCCAACCCCCACCATCCCAGGCCCTGCCTGAGTATGCACTGTCCACTCTGGGCAGGAGACGGCGGTCTCAGCAGATGGCCTCCCTGCAGCCGGACTCCAGTCACGTGGAAATACTTGGTTTAACTGAGATTTGGCTCAGGAAGGAACGCTAAAGAAACAGAGCTCAGAAGTCACAATGGGGAAGATGGACACGTTGAGCCACAGAAATGTTAACTCTTCACTCGAAAAGAAGCCCCACCAAGTAGAAGGGTCAACGGTTGTCATGCATGTGATTGACCAGTCATTACTGGTTGCCAGCAGCAAAGAGGTTGCGGAGCCCTGGCCATAAGGCAGTCTCCCTGGAGTAAGTTCACTGGGAGCAGGAATCTTGTCCTTGTGTCCACAGAACCCCTCAGATACAACAGAATGCTTGTGCAGTGACGTAAGAGGATATTAGATGACCCCATCTAACCGGGGCTAAAGTGATGCTTGTGCCTAACTTCTGAGTGAGGAGCATGACAGATGCCCACGGGCAAGGACAGGCCCGAGTAGAAGTGGCATTCCCCATAGAGGGATGCTGGTGCAGCCACAGACACATGTAAGTCTGACCCCAACAGCTATGTACTCTTGCTGCACATGTGAATTGAAGGTCTGATCTCGCTTTCCTACTTTCATGTCAACATTTTAAAACATGGCTTTTCTCTTGGCTTGGCTTTTCAACCTGATGATTAAATGTACTAGCAGGAAAAGGCCTAACCTTGCCAGGTTAGCAGGGATGGAGGAAACCATTCCTACATTCAGGAGCGTCGGCTGTTCTGAGAACTCAGACAAGGGCACCACTGATCTGGCCTAGGCTGGAGTGGGGGAACCCCAAAGGGTACGGCACTGGGGCTGGTGTTACCTCTCATGTACAGCCCCCCTCTCCTTTGTGACCCCTCAGTCCTAGTCTCTATAGTCCACTCTGGCTAGGCTGCAAAGGTCTGAGCAAGCCCTAGAGGTGGGCTTGGGACTTTGAGCTGGTGTGTCTGGAGTACAGTGGTGGATTTCACAAGGTGGACTGATTCCCCCAAGGATACACTGAATTGCTAACCTCTGGTACTTGTGAATGTGATCTTTTTGGTAATAAGGCCTTGGAAGATGTTGCTAGTTAACATGAGGTCATGCTAGAGTAGGGTGGGTCCTAATATCATGTGACTGTGGTCCTTAAAAAGAGAAGAGACACAGACACACGTGGAAGTCCACGCAAAGATGGAAACAGGATGCAGTGATTTCCAGGAAGCACGAGCAACAGCAAGGAAGGAGCCCTTCTGTCCACTGATGCATTCAGGCAGCCTTGTCCTCAGGAAGTGTGCTCGAAGGTAGATTACAACACCTGGTGAGCCAGGGAGCGGCAGTTTTGCCCTCAATCTTGCACAGGGAGTTGGGGAACTTGCCTATCGACTTACCTGTCTACCCCACATGTGACTGAAACATCGGGGGCCTCATGGCGATCACTCAGAACTGCACAAGCAGAATGGTTCCCAGAGCACCACGTTAGCCATGCAGTCAAAGCCCCAGAACCAATCCCGCATGCTTTTACCATCTGGAATAAAATCCATCGCAATCAGTCTTTCTCTGCTTCTGCAGTCTCCGGCCGGCAGCAGTGATGGACTGGTCGGCCACCATCCTTATTTTGTGATGATTTCTTTCTTTTCCTCCTCTGCAGTGGAGGCTGCCGTGGGACACGTCTCCAGGGGGCTTCCAGCACTTTGCTCTGCTTTGCTTCAATCCTGCAATTCTGTTAGAACTCATGATAAACTGACACACCTTTGCGGTTTGACTTTAGAACAGCAGTTTTCAACCTGTGGGTCGTGACCCCTTTGGGGGTTGAATGACCCTTTCACAGGGGTTGCCCAATTCATAGCAGTAGCAAAATGACAGTGATGAAGTAACCATGGAAATAATTGTATGGTTGGGGGGGTCACCACCACATGAGGAACTGTATGAAAGGGTCGCAGCCTTAGGAAGGTTGAGAACCACTGCTCTTACAAGGCAGAATTAAACCATCTCCACTGCAGGGCAGAACTTGCTAACAGTACCTGCCGTTGAAAGGCAGACACCTTCTCCAAATAAAAGCGAGCCATCTGAGCACCAAAAGGCCCGCCTCACACTGGATTGTTCCACAAGATCCCCTCCCACAAGACTTACCTTCAAAACGGCCCATGGCCTGTGGCTTCTAGGAGGCACGTTTTGATGGACAAGATCCCCTCCCTCTGCCTTCTTGGTGTGAGGACTCAGTACTCATGCTTTCCTTCCACCCATCTTGTGATTTGGCTTCCTTGGGACAGGCTGCTCGAATCACCCATGAATTAGCCCCTTATTGGTGAATCAGTGGGCCCAATTGTAGCCTCGCCACTGGGCACACGCTAGGCTTCCTTAATTCTGGGGTGATTGCCTTTGTCTCGTGTAAGGCTTAATAAAAGGGCCTCTGGAGAGAAAATGTTTTGAGAATGATGTACAAATGTGCTTTACACAATTGATGTATGTATGGATTGCGATAACAGTTGTATGAGCCCCTAATAACAAGTTTTTAAAAAAATAAAAAAAATAAAAGGGCCTCATGGAATATATTTGAAGTGTGTGTGTGTATGGGGGGGGTTGTCTTTTTTTTTTGTCTTTTTATTCTCTTATCACAATACAAATAAAAAAGCTAACACTCTGAATGGCCGCTTTAGTTTATGTCTGCGAATCAAGGTTTTGGATGTGGTTTAATTGTGAGTAAAAGAAACAAAGTTTTGTTGATAAGAAAAAGAAATAGAAACAATGGAATTATTACTCAGCAGTTCCACTGGTGTTATTTACTGAAGTGCACCTTATGTCTGCAGAAGAACATGCCCATGAGTCTTCATACTGGCTCCGAATCAGGACTAGATCAGATGTCCATCAGCAAGGAGAGTGCGGGAACTAACTACGGTACATCCCTACAACAAATGTATTCCCAACAAAAACAATAATAGGAACAAAATACAGAATGTCATGGGATAAACACTTACATAGGACCTTTTGTCTCTCATTTCTAAAAATTACCTAAGCCATCGGGGGCTTTTACATTACAAAATATGGAGGCAACGCTTAAAAGCATATGCAGATGAGCTGAATGGTCCCCTCATCACCTTGACAACAGGCCTCAGGAAAGGAGGGAGCATATTGCCCGGCAGGACCTGCTGTTTATCCCTGTAGCATGTCATGAAGGCTTTGGAGTACCATGACAAGAGAGGCCTGGCTCTCCACACGTGGTGGTGGTGGTGGTGGTGGTGGTGGTGGTATTGCCTTGTGCCTCCGGTTGCTTTGTCACAGGCATTGGCCTTACCCCCTGGGCCATGTCCCCTTGGCAGGGCCCCAAGCAGAAGACTGTCCTTTAGGGGGTGATGGTCAGACTTCTCTGGGATGATGGTCAGGAGCCTGTCCATCAGGGTGAGCAGTAAAAAGCCTGGATCGGCAGGCCTTCAGTGCAAGTCACAGCTGATAATAGGTACCCGAGGCTGTCAGGCCAAGCAGGGCAGGCTGGCTA